CATAGAAAAACTGCTGAATGCCTTTATTTTTGCATTTGCTTGTATGGCTAAAATGTGCTAAAAGGGATCCAAATGAACTTTACTGGTCAACTTTGCTGTAGAACAGGTGTATGATTCAATTGATTGCCAGCTATGTTAGATCAGACCATGCCAAGCCATCGAATCTGTGAACATGATGGACCCATATATGGACCTAGGCTCTGACCCAGAATCCTAACAGAATCTTGGTAATTCGTCGGATCTTCACCAAACCCAGGTGTTTGGAAGCTGCACAGCTTGAAGAACTCACGTTTCACTGCAAACAGACATGAGAATCTTGCAAGGGTCAAGAATGGTCAAGAGAACAAAAACTGCCTCTCGGGTTGATGGTTGAATTGCTGTTGCCTATTCATTGTGAATGATGTGTTAGGATCAACTGGACAAAAGCGGTGGCTACAGTAAAATTATGTAAAATTTGGTGCATCTGCTTTGTGGAAGTCGAATCCGCAAATCATGCAGGCCCATATGTTGGCTTGTTTAGAAGAGATGATATGACCCAAATGAGCCCCAGTTGTGCCCAGTGTGTCCGCCCGTGAAAACATGTCCTGCCTGCCGCGTGGCCATCCTCCATGGCCAATGATACCAAGCGGGCTCGGCCACCAGGTCCGCGCGAATCCTTGGCGGCCTGGGTCAAAACGAGCTGCAAAAATCCGTCGGGTAGTTACTCTATATCTATATATATATATATCTATCTATATCCTCAATTCTAATTGTGTAGGCCTTTGTCAAAACAAACGAGTGTCAGTACGCTATAACAATCTGGTGCTGGCACTATGTCCGGCGTTGATCGAAGGCACTGGCGTTGATCGTTCATGCGGCTGGACTCTACAACACATCTATCCGAGGCCTCCCAGCAAAAGCGCACTCGCACGCCAACAGCCAAATCAGCCGATGTCAACCCGGAGTCCTGGGCCGACATCGTAGCTCACACGAGACTCGGTTTGAAGGTGTGCAATCCTAGAAACCAATCTCGGATTAGCCTCATGTCATTTTCCCTCTCAGTAGGATGCATCATCTAAGCGGATCACACCTGGGGACCCTCTCTATCAAAGCAGGCTTGGCTCCACGACTCTCCGGGGCCCGTCTCTCGCTAGGCTTACGGCTGGTCGAATGGTGAGGGTCGAACAACTAGAGTAGCAGAGGGCATCAAGGAATCAAAAAGGTTCCCAGCTATATGCTCTAGGGACAAAGCAGGCTCTTGGAATCATTGCTGGCATATGCGGCATATGTGCAAGATGGTGCAAGCATCTGGGACAGAACTACAATTTGTGAAAACAGCTGAAGGACCTAAACACCCAACTCCAAATGACTCAGTTGGGGCATTTTTTGTCCAGAAAGAAATGATGTATCTGATGTCGTGTTCCCTTGTTGTGAATATAGGTTCTGACTGGCTCGGTGTATCTATATATTCCATACTCTGTTTAAAGTACACTGGAGCCCACCGGAGCCAGTGCCCATCAACCCTCTAAGCATCAGAAACTCCGTTTCTCAGGCTTGGCGTTTCCGCGCCGCCAAGCCGCGCGGAAACCGCATCGATGGAGTTGGTGCGGTGTTTTCTGCAAAAAAAGGTGGACACCTATAGTCTAGGAACAAAGGGCATCGCTAGTGGCCTCCTGATCGACTCAACAACTCTTGCGACTTCACCGACATGCACCAGAAGGCATCGCGCCGAGTTCGCGGGGGATCCATGGCTCGCTTTGCCTCCAAAATTCCCACATCGGTTTTTAAAATCATCAAAAATCTATTTGCTTCTGTATATATATATATATATACCTGGAAAGGCGTATGAACACTCTTTTTTGTGCGAAGGCCGTATTTGGACAGAATTTATCGTATGGACATTTTAATTAACGAATTAGCGTATTTAGCCGTATGGACAGAAAAACAATACCGTACAAAAGCGTACCCATATGAAACCCAAACTTTATCAACATTTTATCGACAAAAACCCAAAAAAATATATTGATAAAACCCAATCAAACCCAATATTCGGAGGAATTCCAGAAAATTTGTCCATTTGACAAAAAAGGCCGGATGCACGGATTTTTTGTGCGAACGTGTTTGAACAAAAAAAAATGCACATTTGGATTCCCTGGTATATTATATTTATTGTATTATATTATAGGAGGACGTCTTCCAAGACAGCGCCGTAATATATCCCTGCGCCTTGTGGAGGAAGAGTCGTATCCAAGTGTATGTATCAATCGAGATCCAAAATCCGTCGCCGTGGCTCGAGATCCGAAAAGTGGAGAAACACGTCGCCACGGCTGTGAGGAGCACGATCTGCCGCGCCGTCCCTGGACACAAAGCCAAAGCCTCCCAGGCGTTTCGACAAGCGGAGACAAAGAACACCTGCCTCAAGTGAATACGTCTGCCAAGCAATTCAAGTGTCAAACATATTCAAAACTGGCATGTAGGGGCATGGTCATACTACGTACCGTCACCGAAGCAAGAAGCTTAGGGGTTGAAGAAGGGTTTAGGCTATCGCACACATTATCTCCAGGCTGGTGAGTGTTTTGGCGGACTGTTCTTCTGCAAAGCATCTGCCTTGCAAAGCGGTTGGCAACTGCATTATGATCATCATTGATCATCTAACATCTAGATGCCGTGAGGAGACCATATGTTTTGGCGCAAACATTGCTGCTCAGAACACACTATTTGGTCCACCGTCCGAAGCAAACTAGCCCTCCTCCCGCCTTTCCCGACAAAGAGCCGGCGAACGGTGCCGGTGGTCCATGCACCTGAAACAAGGGAGAGGTCCGCCCCCAAGTGGTCCACGCCCGACAGTCGCCGGGCCCATAAAGCCCGGTGAAACGAACATCACTGGGCTTTCTGGGCCCTGGAGGTCTTCTGCACATGGAGTTATCCTTCTTGCCTCTGGAGGTCAAAGCGCACAAGGAAACCAAACTGAAAACCCACATTATCGCTGAAAACCCTCGCCTTCCGCCTGTTGCATCTGTGATGGCGGTGGCGGCATAGCTTGCTTGTGACTTCCTGGACTCTGTTGACCGTTGAAATCTGTTGACTCTGTTCACTGTGAGCTGACATACAGTACTGAAGCGAAGCAAATATATAGAGATATACAGTAAAGAGTAAGTCGAGACAAAGAGATGTCGAAAGTCATGAGCTGCAATGCCGATGCAATGCCTCCATATCGGCGATGTCCACCGCCCTTGCCCGTCCTCAAGCTGAGATGATCAAGATAATCCATCGGTCTCATAGGTACAAAACTGTGGTGAAGCCAAAAATATGAAATCGCAACGACTTTAGCACTTGGGAATATCTGCTCACCCTGGGGAGTTTCGGAGAAACCTACCCACGTACAGTTTCCCAGCCATGAGATGCTATCAAAGGTCATAAGATTCTTACAATCCGAAAAAAAACATCTCTCGTCCCGGCAAGGAGTCCAATGTAGACAAGCCACACCGCGCCATGCCAGTTCACTTGCTGGCCCCACCACGGAGCCATCAGAAAGGAAAAAGAAAAAACAAATGAAACAACGTACGTTTTGCTCTTGAGCAAAAAACAGCTTGGGATATATAAATGGTCGTCATGGACATCCAAACGCCGTTTTTCTGCGCACCAGTCGGCCGCGACAACACCACACAAAAGCACCCGTTGGCCGATCATGTTCACCACACCACAGCAGTCTGACCAGTCTTTTTGGTGCATTTGGAGGCGACCAGGGTCGTTGCACCCTGCGTGGACCGGGACCAGGGCCGTACCCGAATCCGAACTGGTCAGGGGTGACCTTCGAAGCCAATCCCGATCGGTTTGGTGTTCAGGACCGGTCGGCCGTTGTTGACCCCCGGAGTGACCCAGTCCCGGTGGATGATCATGAACACCTCCGGCCCAAGAAATCCACGAGCTGGAGCATGGAATTCCTCTGGGCTGGAGCATGATCACAATCCAAGTACGGGTTGCGCACGGTCAGTGAGACCAGTGCTCATCTGAAGGGGGATGTCAATGAAGATCACGAGCATATTCTTCTCCGCAGCGGGAAGAAATTGACACGTGCGAGGTTCATGTCATGTGAAACAAGTCGTCGGAGGGTTTTCTGGGTCGCAGCTTGTTGCAGCCAGGAAAGCACGCACGCAAACCATGCGCTGGAAGAGAGCGCTGCGTTTTTATCTATCAAATACAGTACATTCAAATACCATGTGTATCCATTTGTGAAGCCAACACACACCAGTAGGGTCCAGATTCTTTTCCTTCGGGATCCGTACATATCTAGATTGGTTCAACTGAGTAGCCCCTTGTCTCAGGCAAACAAACAACACAGCAAATAGGCACAAACAGATGGATCCAAACTGTGCGTCGCTCGAATTGTCTACGACTTGGGTTCAGGGCTCTCTCCTTTCTAACGCACAACAAAGTCGGAGGCCACAACTGAACATCTTTGGGGCCGGTTTCAGCACCTCCGAGGCTTTGGACTGGTAGACACGAAGGACTGGTAGACACTCTGCTGGAGCACACTCATGCCGGGGCCCACTGGTTTGAAACCCAAAAGGAAGTTGAACCTCACAAACCGCTCGGCCACCTGTTTGGTACTCGTCTGAACCGTACACGTTGGGTCTATCGAATCTTCAGATGGGCCTAGTGGATGAGGATGGTTCGGTTGCAGGCCTTTCGATCTTAAAAAGGGGTGAGTATGTTCTCTTTTACCTTCCTGTTACTGTGCCGGAAACCCAAACTCCCCAGTCCCAATGTGCCAACCACGTGTTACACACTGGAAATGTAACATGAAACCTGAAAACCACTGGGTTCTAGAGGAGAATCGTCTTCCACAGGTCCATTTTCAGGTTCCATGTTAATTTTCCCGGGTGTAAGTGTAAAGGATCTCAGGAAAACCATCTTGGTTTCCAACCATGAAGGGTTCTAGGTAGTTGCTGCTTCACTGAAGGACACACACTACGTGTGGGTTTTCCACCGGTTTTTCCGACCTCCACAGGACGTCGCACCTTCCGCATTCTGCCAAAGCCAAGCTCCATAGCCTGGCAGAGCGGGTTGAACATGCAGAAAAAAACCCGCCACTTTTGCGTGGCCCAGAAAGCCGGGCGAAGCGGCGAAGCCTCAAAAGAACCTTCCTAGTGGGAGATGACCCAATCGAGGCCATGATATTCCATGAGAAACGCATATATACCAGCATAAGACCCTTGAACTACGTTTCAGCAATATGTGTTGTGCGTCAATTCCTTGAACTCCAATGTTGGGCATTCGACTCTCGTGCGTACTTTGGACATGGTGGTGGTCTTTGGCGTGCTCTGATTTCGTGGCCGGTGCACTGTGATTCGTTTTTCAGAAGCCGGAGGAAGTCTCGAGAGAAGGCTGCGTTTTGGCAGCTTGATGTTGTCTTTGGACATGCTTGCTGCAAATCGCCTTGGCTGGGCTGTGCGATGTGAATCTTGATGTGCAGATTTCGTGGCAGGCGCACTACTTGGACGCAGCGCTTTGTGAACCTTGAAGGCACCCCACTTTGTGACCTTGAAGTGCAGATTTCAATGGCAGGCGCAGAATTTTGTGGACCTTGAAGTGTGGATTTCCTGGCAGGCGCAGCACTTTGTGAACCTAGAAGTGAAGATTTTGAGGCAGGCGCAGCACTGTGTCAACCTTGAAGTACCGATTTCGTGGAAGGTGCAGCAAATGTTCTCTCATACGTGTGCTCTCGTGCGTGCTCTTATATGTACTCCAATGTCTGCTCATGTGTGTGTGTGTGTGCATGTTCCCTCGCATGTGCTTTTACAAGTCCTTTCATATGTGTGTTCTCTAGGCTCCTGCACCGGATCTAGACATCTCTCTCTCCACCTGGTTTGTGAACCAGCATCACCGCAACCACCATCACCATCACCACTACCATGACCACCATCACGCCACCGCCGCTGCTGCCTCTGCCTCGAGATAGCGATGGCTGGGTGACTGGGCCCACTCACCTGCTAGACCTCGCCTGTCGGTGAAGAGGACAGGTGAAGCGCCTTCGACCAGCGGTCCTTATTCACAGACACACCGAGACAGAACAGAGACAAACAGAGCGAAGACCTTGCCTCTCGCTCCTCTTCACAGTTGAGACAGACAGACTGACAGACCGAGACAGACACACCGAGACAGACAGACTAAGACAGACAGAGCTGACGGGCCTTGATCTGGAATCCTCACCGGCTCCGAGAAGTTCTCCAGCTTGCCCCGATCACCAGTTGCACGCATGTCTCGCGCCAGACGATGTGATTTCCGGAGTTGCCCTCCTCGCCCTTCCAACCAGTCGTTGGCGCCTGCAGTGTCCAGAAACTGTTGTCCAGGTCAGTGTGATTCTATTTCATCACATTGCATGAGCGTGCTTTCGGTGTAACACTGGTCATTGCAGGGCGAATGCAAAACCCTTCCATCGTGATAGTGGTCTTTGCTTGGTTCTCCCCCTTGGCATCCTTTTCATCACCGTATTCTCATCAAGTTCTATTCTACCTACAGAAAACCATCAAGTTCATTCTATTCTACCGTGTTCTCATCAAAAGAAAACGCAACCCTTGGCAGCCAAACCCAGAAAATCCTCCCCAGGCCACCCCTGGCCCGACCTCCAAAGCGCGTCATGGCCAGAGCCGAGTCCTCCACCATTGGATAGTCCTCCGGTCCCGCGAACCAAGCGCCATGCCCAGCCCAGCGGACTTGAAGCAAAGAGTGCAACAAAAGAAAGGAAGGAAAGCGTGGATGAAACAGGTCAATTCAGCAGCATGCTTAGGGGTGGGAATCCTCGCAGTGGTTTCTGTTCACCTACTGCTTTCGCTCTACTGCTTTCGCTCTACTGCTTTCGCTCAAAAAGCTCCAGTACTCACAAAGAGCAACACAACAACCCCAAAAAACCGCCGCGCGCTCTTCTGACTCCCCCGGTGTTGTCGTCCTTCTCGGCTCGATGCCGAAACTCGGGGTGGTCTGTCCAAGGGCCGAAACTCGGTGTTTGGCGTCCGTGGGTTCCATCTTAGTTGGTGAAAAAGGACCTGACAGAGGTCCGGTACCCAACTGGATAGTCTATAGTACCCTAGGGTTCTTGTGTCTCTGTTGGAAAGTCGATTTGTTCCACCCAGGTTGAGGGGGGCAGTCATTTGGAGACAAATCCCATGTAGAATAAAGCGTTGGCTGAGCTCAATGATATATATAAGAGAAGCAACAACCAAAACGTCCCCACCACCACCACCAAACAAGATACCGATAAACTGTTTGGGCTTGACTCGTAATCTGCACGGACCAAAATAAAACCAAACACCAAAAATCTATCTCAATTCCCCAGCCAAACACTGTTATTCCCCTTTCATAGCCCACCCCCAAAACCCAACTCTCGTACTTCCAGACCAATCGCACTCCTCAACTGTCTCTCACCAGTCCTTACCGTAGTGCCGCTCGAAGTTTGGAAGCTTCAAGCGCTTGGCCAAAGCGTACAAGAACAAGGCCATGGAGGGCAGAAGCCGCGCCTTCCCAACGGATGCGCTCTTCTCGCCGCCGAATCGCGCGTCACGCGCCGAATCGCGCCATGCACACCGCAAGGAGAGCTCGACTCGTTCGAACCTTCAACCGACCGCACGGACGGCGGTGGACCGCGCCGGTTTTCCCTGAATTGAAGGTTCACACCGAACTGTCCATCGGTTTGGGACTTCAAGGTGTCCCCCCCGCATCCCCAATCCCAACACGGATCTGTTCAGAACCTCCACCGACGACCCGATCGACGGCGTGCGTGCGGTTTGCGACGTCCGCAAACCGAAAGCATGCGACGTCCAAACTGGCAGTCCAAAAAGGTGCATCCTTTTGGGAGATGCTGCCGAACTGGGCACAAGGGAAAGAGTCGAAGAAAAGAAACCAAACAAAAATGGTGCCCATCCTGTATACCACAACCTGCTGTATCAACCATGGCGAAAAAGCTTGAGAAGGTGTGAAGAAAGAGACCGTGGCCCGACCTAAGCTGATGAGATCTTGAAGAAGGGAAGGGGGCTTCTGACAAGGATTTCCCAAAGCCCCAGCCAAAAGCTCAACCAAGCTGTTCTTAATAGTTGTTACATGTGGTTGCATGGCTATATGAAGACCTTTATGGAGAGCTTCGGCTTCACTCCGTGGATGTTCCATCAAATTAAGGTAGTGATGGGCCGGATTCCCCCTCACCGGAACTCGATGGTACCATACCTGATAGTATCTGGTACCTTTCGAACCAGGTCAACCTAGATGGTACCACTTGGTGTTTTTGCGAATCTTGAAGTTCGATCATGTCGCCACTGCTGTTCCCGTCGAACAATGGACTACTCGAGTGCCCCAGCCAATGGCTGGTGCTGGTGGCCACGAGAGTGGCCACTGATGCACGTTGAGGCCACCAAGGCAGTCTTGGATGATTGAAGAAAAACAATCAAGTGAAACAGAATGTTTTACAAATGACCCATTGCCAAACACTGCTACATCATCTGCAATCCTCCAACGTGATGTACTCAGCACCATCAGGCCGTTATACACACGTCAGATTTGTTCTTTATCATGAACACCAACCAACGCATCGCCCACCCTGCTTTTTTGGAAGTACACACGACTTGGGTATATCCTACTACCAGGGCCCAGTGGATGGTTCAGTTGCGCTTGTTGACCGACGCTTACAGGTTTACTGGGACAGACCCCAACCCATCTCGATTTTCCGCTCGGAGCAGGTCCCATTCGGCCTGCAAGGTGTGCAACTTCCACTCCTCGTACCTCGCCAGCCACACGGCCAGGTAGGGCACGGCCCATCCCAACCCGCTTCGAAGATGGAGTTGGTTCGCGGTTCGCAGATTTGCCAGGTGCTTGCTCTGCTGATTTGGTGGAAGGAAATTTGGGTGTAAGATGGGTTGTTTTCAGGTTTTGCTGGATTCACTGTGATATGCTAGGATTCTGCTCTTTACATGTACTCAATGTTTGGCCAAGCAACTCCTGTAACTGATTATTTGTAGTAATCTTTCTTCCAGCCTTAAGTTGCGTGGTGGTGAATTGGTGGTGAATGATATATACACCGGGACACCGGGAGAACCTGTTCAACCCATCATGTTCCTGGAAGTGAGGAAATATGACATACTCATTCCCACAATTAACCTCGATTCCATGTCATCCATGGAGCGAGGGTAAATCCCGCACTGTTGAAAAGGAAGTGTTGCGAAAACTAGAAGCCCAAAACTGTAGACATTCTCTCCATAGAAGTGAAACTCTTGGAGTTCCGCATCAAAAAGTATCCCCCTCCAAGAAGCACCTCAAGTCTGCCCCGCAAAAACACACAGGTCTTTGGTTTCGTGCCTGCGCTGCCGAACGTGGAGTGCGGACAGGGCACCTCCCGACTCCCTTTGAGTGTTTCGATGGATTTCGAACGACTTGCCACGTGCCTTTCTTCAATGCTCCTTGGCTGCTTTGTCACGGAGTTTGGTCCACTAGCTAGTATTCAGGCGAAAAAAGATGCAGGGCGCTTCTAGCTGCACCAGCTGCTCGTTCGACCATGTGCATCGGTTCTTTTGCACCAGCTGCACCAGCTGAAATTCTACACCTCGTCTGGTCAATATGACTCACAATCCTGAAAGAAGGATCTGAATCTTTCCGGCCTAGTCAATCCAATAATTCGACCCCATTTCAATCCCCAGACCCAACCGACCCAGGACTTCGTCAAGCTGCAGCAGATGGAAACAAAGGAAGAGCTGTTCCAGGTGCTCCCTGCCAGTCGTGCCAGGTGGCAAGACATCATAGACCACGTGCAACCAAGTCATACCCACGTCATACCCAACCAGTACCGTCCTCCGAATCCCAGCTCGATGGAGGAGCGACCCGTTCCGGGAACGGGCTGAACGGGCAAGCCACGGTGTCCATCGCAGGTCCGAACGGCGGTTCGTCCGCAGAGGCGGTGGGTGGTGGACGTCAGACCCGTCAGACCCATCAGACCCGGAGCCCGGAAGAAATGGTTCTTGTTGTTGTGAAGTATATGTAGAGTCTAGGAAGTTGTCCAATAAATGGCTCACAAAGCCAGAAGATGCCTGGTTGACCCCGGGTCAAATGAACAGATTCCTCTATGTTCGGGAGGTCAACTGGTCTACTGCCGCGCTTGCGGACACGATGAAAAAAACGTCGCCGGCCCCTGACCGCCCCTTGGTCTAGGACCGGGTACAGAAGGGGGATACCATGGTTTGGTGGGGGAGGTTTTGACTCGCAATATGCCATGCAGCACTATCATTCAGCAGCCACCCACTGTCAAATGTGGCTTCATGGTGATCCTGCTTCACGAGGCTGGAGAACTAACCATCCTCCAATGTCGAAGAAAATCTGTCAGATCATCTACAAACACCCAGGCATCTCACCGAGATCGTCCGACCACTCGAGACCACAAGAGACCGGGTTTTTCTGGTGAATAGACTTCTCTTCAAAGCAGTCAGCTACACTGCCGGTCACTGAAACCTGGAAGAATAGCTGCTCTACCCGAACTTGGTTTTTCTACCCCTCTAATCGAATCCTACAAAAACCCCATTGAACTTTGGGGTATCCGACATCGGCGATGTCCTTTTTATGGGGGAAAGAATAGAGGGGTTCGGTGCCAAACACATCTTGGCCGCACTTGGTACTAGTACACGAGGTATCGGTATCCCCTCCGTTCAATCAACCAACCGGACATGTTCAAGGCCATCGATGCCTGCAAGCTTTTCCCTTCGGAGTGAACATGGTCCTCCGAACGTGCGATTTCGGGGCCATACATCCACTGCCAGGCCCATGGTCCCTTTAAGACAGAACGGCATGGTCCCATGCCCCATGCATCCACGTTCTTGAGTGTAATAACTTCAAGACAGATAGGCTGTTCACCGGTTCTCTCATCATCTCCCCCAAGTGAAGGCGTGATAGACCAACCACGTGCGGCAGAATGACTTCAAGTCGTAACTGCCTGGCGCTGCTCCTCACACATCGTGTGAAAAAAAGGCGACGAATCGCCGGGATTCATTTGGCTCATCCCATTCACACTTCAGTCATGTAATCTGAAACAAGCAGACGACCTACACCCATAACAAGGACCTAATCTTCTGGGGTTTTAAGTTGGAGGCTTATATAGATTGTGATCCATCAGAATCTCAACCAAAAGAAAGACTTGGTCACTGACGACCACCGGTGGTGTTGGTCACTTGTTTTCGTAACCCGCGCCCTCCAACCGCCTCGCTTCCACCGGCGCGAACCGACGCTGGGCCTCACTAGCGGCGCCGTGCGCAGCTCTCGCTGCCAAAGCTCCGAGCTCCTTGGAGCGGCGCGGGGGGACAGACCCTCAGCAGGTGGAAAACTGGATCAGCGTCCATTGCTTTGGACCTTTAGTATACATGAACGAAGTTGAGATGCTGGTTTTCACCAGATGGATATGATTCTGATCGTCGTTCGGATGTGTCGACCCCTCTTTGTCACTCAGTTTCACTCAGATTTGGTGCTGGCTTCCTCACTTCACCCTCGCTTCCTCACTTCACATGCTGCCCAGAGGTTACCACTCCGCGTGAAAGAAGCAAGAAGCCCCAAGCTTGCCCTCCGCGCTTTGTTCCCGAATGCTTCTGCCGTCGCGGGGGTTTCTGCGCCGATCCGATCCACGGCGTTGCCCAAACCCTCGAGGGTCGGCGGAACCATCGAGCGAAGAACCAAAAGAACGATGAAAACATACGGAAAAGGTGTCAAAAACGAAGAAGTCGCCGAACGTCATGGCTCTCCCGAGTGTCTCACCGCAAAAATGGAACATGCCATGAAGGAAAAAATACGTGTGAGAACTCGTGGAGCTTTGGGAAGCCTTTTGGAGTTCAACTGTGAAAAGAACATGTTCCACCCAGACGCGAAGTCTGGACCCTGCGTGGACCGGGACCGGGGCCGTACCTGAATCCGAACTGGTCAGGGGTCCGGACCCTCACACCAATCCCGATCGGTTTTGAGAGACCAATCGGCCATCGTTCACGTCTGGGCATTTGATGTTGGGACCACGGTTTTTCAACCCACTATGGCAATCCATTCCATCACAAAAAGGGTTTGGGCTTGGTTTCGGGACTGGGTGTGTGAGAAACGTCTCAGTCCTTCGGTCGAGGGAGTGGGATCACCACCCCGGGTCTCTGGGTCTCCCGTGCGTGGCTTCCAGCTCCGATCGCGGACTCCTGCGTCGGTTCAGGCCAACCACCAGGAACCACTCATGCCAGAAGTCACAAGACGGGGTGGTTTTTGGTCCCCAAGTGAGTGGATTATGGACACCCCTATCCTCCAAGTTCGGCACCCTATCCTCCAAGTGACTCCTGCCGTCGTGCTTTTTCCGTGGAACAAAGGCAGGGATGGTGGCATGGTCAAGTGATTCCGCCTCCAGAAAAAGTGGCACAGTTACCCCTCGGTCGCTGAGTCGTCCCTGTGGCCGGTGGCTCATCTCCCACGCCGTCGACCCAGCGTCACATCAGGCATCGCAGCACGCGTCGCAGCACGCGTCTCCTCAGCTCCGGGTGGGGCTTGAAGTCCTGGCGATGAGGATTGTCCAAAGGATTGGTCTGAGTCCGATGGATGGCCATGTTCACGATGAGGATCTGGGGTCACTCAAGGTCATGGCAATCTGAGTGGCAAGATAGTCACCCGTTAAAGCAACTTTGGGACTATCATACAGAAGGGCAAAGGGCGATTGGCAGGTATATACCATCTTCTCGCTAAAGGCGTCGATGCTGTTGACCAGTCTCCCGGCGCCTGAAAAAACCGAACCACTGCCAAGCACTGCCATGGTCTCTTGGTGTGCGACCGGGTGTGTACATCCAAATTGTACTGTTTGAGTATTGAAGAGTTGCACAACAAGCTGTACACTGGCATGGTGCCTTTGTATTGAAGAGCCTTCGTTCATCCAACGTCTGGGTCAGTGACAACGTGACCTCTGCCTCCCGGAGAGGGGGTTTCTTCGGAAATCCTCTGCCAAGAGTGGATACTAAATAACCCACTGGAGACAACGGAAACGGTAGATGTCGCTGGAAACTGAATACCACAGTCATGCTGAAACGGTGGATACTGGTGCTTCTCTACTGTTGCTGGAAAGAGGACGACGCTCTTTTTCCAAATCATCCAATGAAACGCCTTCGCCACCTGAGATGGTTTTCTCGACCTAGTAACTGCTTCGTGTTTCGAAGAATTGGAGATGCAGAGGTCGCGGCCCTTCATGATCTTCATGTCTAAAGATAGGAAAGAGCTTTGTCCGCTTCTTTGTACCTCTATAGAGTCGACCCTCTACCCGGTGCTCTACGTCGAAAAAGAGTCTGCTCATCCATTCAAAATGGAGAGACCATAGTGACATCCACACGAAATTCGTCTCCCTACCTATGGATTTGTTGGGATCTAAGGTCGTCTTCCAATCTTCCACGGGATCCGTGTTCAGTCTGACTCCATCGGCCGCCCCGAACCCCCCGGCCAGGCACGGGATCCGAACCGCTTCCACCGCCCCAACCGAAGGAACACCCCAGTGGAAGACACAACCGAAGCACACTCCTATGAGTCAAATGCACGTAGACTCTGCAATTAATCAATGAAGCCTCCCAGAGATGGAGTTGTAAAACCTCTGGAGGCTTAGAGGGGTGAAATAGACGACTGGTTGGTGGGTGTTTTCAGCCCACTTGACATATGAGTCAGAGGGGGTCCCATCATCTCCAAGTAAGGGTTGAAAATAGACATATCATGACATATCCAAAACCATCACCTGGAAGAAATAGAACTCCCCCTCCCCTCCCATGGTGACGTGGATGTGCTGGCCCCCTACTTGGAAGACGTTCCGAAAAACCAAGAGGGGGTGAACTCCACTTCCAGCAACAGAGGTTCTTCAGAACCCTTTTTGAAGTCTCCGATTGATACTCCAGTATGGTCGTAGTTCAGGTCACTGAACCTCTCCACCTCCATGATTGACCTATATTATAGGACCATACTGGAGTACCTACTGGAGGAGGGTTGGTACTCCAGTAACCTCTCCTGGGGTGAGAACTCGCTCGATCTTCGCCTTTTCAGCGAGATCCTCTTCCGCTTGACCTCCGGACACTCCCGTGACACTTCCGTCCGTAGGGGGACCAACACCCCATCGGCACCTGCGAGTCGCTGAGCCCCGGAAAGCGGTGCCGCTGAAGCGCATGCACATCGCCTCAGGTCACATCCGGCGAAGATATAGGCTACGCATCTGGGGCCATAGACCCTCAGGTTCGGTGGGGACTGACCTCCCCAAAAAATAGCACCCTGACCAGCACCCCAAGCACTGGAAGGGAGACCGCCCCAAAAGCCCCCCTATCGCCCCTGGCAGGGTGAGCTACACGCCCCCGTCCAAATCGTCCACTCGGTGCTCACGGCATCGTGCGCGGTGCACGGCGGTGCACTCGGTGTTCCTGCTTTAAACGAAGCCAAAGGAACATACGAAGACCAAACCCAAATCCGGTCGCAAACAAAAGCTTTAGATGTCATTATAAAGCACATGAAGTTGTTCCTGGTCCCAAGCAGGTGAGTTTTCTCTCCGGATCTCAAACAGACCAGTCCACCTGGTTTTCATCCTGGTGGACGGACGGTCACGGACCTTCCGGATTCGCGACCCAGCACTGGTACCAGGCATCGGCATAGGGGTACCAGAAACCGGCCACATGGGTAGGAAGAGAGGGGCCGGATGGGGTCAAAAGCACATGGAAGGTCGACCATCCTTGCGGTGGAATCTGTTGGGACCCGGGGTCAACCTTACGGTGTCCCCGGTGCCATGTGGGCCACTCCCCATCCAACGTGGATGGGTGGGGTTCATCTGTAGACTAGATAGGAATCCGGAATAGCACGAAAGCTGGATCGATCCTAATACCAGGAAACTGTGGATGATGATGATGATGATGATGATGATGGTTAGGTTGCAGGCCTTATTCAAAAATAGTGATAACTGTTTGCTGACTGTTACGGGAGACCGACGTACGACGGACCGACCCAACATGTAAGTGTCATGCGAAAACAACAAATGCATAGAATGTGAAGAAGGACGAACCTTGCTTCAATGCACTTGGACCATGGTCATGTTTCTTGACACTGGTCACTTTCTATCTGCTTGTTAGAATGGCTGTTGATCATGCAAAACAAAAGGTTTGCGTGGCTGAAACATGAATTCAAATATAATTCGATACATTCGAACCCAATTGATCAACCATGGACGTCCTTGCTTGGGGATGTCCTTCCGCTGTGAAGCACTTGCCGCAATAAATCCTGTCGTAAGTTGGACGGAAGAAAGTGAGACGGTCCAAGTTCGTCGCGGTCCACACACGCTTTGTTTGCACACATGCGGCTCAAGGAGGCTCGGTGCTAGCTCTCCTTTAGGCCCGGAGGTAAGGTGGGTGCTTCTCATGTTCGTTTCACCGGTTGACCTCAAAGTTGGACTTCAATACAGGTCATGCAGACTCTTAATGAATACATCCCGTCCCATTTGGATTGTAAAACCTCTTCAGGCCTGGGGGGTTGTAGTTATATAATCAAGAGTCTAAATGTATTGGATGCAGCCAAGCACGTCAGAATGAAACGTTTCCTTCGTTGCGTAGCATGTAGTGGGTGGGTTCCTGGTTGATCCACTCCTACCGTTGATTGAAAACATCCAGCCACCTGGAACCACCAAAACACTGTAAATTGCACACGAAGAACGTAATCAGAAAAACCGTTGGTGGCGCTACTGAAATTTCATGACATGTTCTATAAAATATATACAGCCTATCCAACTAGCAAAAGAACTTGAACTGGTGAAATACACCACTTGTACCCGGATCTGTGTGAAGAAAATACTGGGAACCACCGATTGAAACCCTTTCTGTCCGGCGCTGTGACCCGACGTCCTTCGGATGCTGTTCTAAGGATTGGACTTCCCAAAAGCCAGTCCCAATCAGAATCCATGTCCTGGGCACTGGAAAACGCATGCTGGCCGAAGCTTAAGTAAAGCAAAAAGGACATCTCAATTATGCCAGCATGGGCCCCAAACAGTTCTGGCAGTATTTGTGTGGCGTCAACTCCTTAAGATCTATTGTGGGCGGTATCGTCCGCGCAGTGATATTCCTTGTCGCCTCTAGTGTGCTTCGGAACAGCGTGTAAACACAGTTCCTGATTCCCGGGTCACATTGAAGCGCTGCATCACTATTGCATTGATAACCACACGAAAACTGGAACAAAGCCCCAACAGTAAACTGCTTGGAGAACAAGAGGAGGGCCAGCAGGAGGTCAGGAGGACAGCAGGAGGACAGCAGGAGGTCAGGAGGTTTGTTTGTTTTTGTTTCACTCACGGTATCAGTCGACGCTTGTGGGGCATCGCGAGTTCTCTTCGCGGCCTTTTGGTGAGCCCGCGCTCCATCACACGGAGCTTGCACACAAAAAGCTGACTACTGTGGCCAGCGTTCATCAAGCATGGACAATAACTCAGCTAGACGCGGGGAATCCTCTGGGTCCTCGGCTGGGTGCACCGGCTCAAAGGGTCGCACGCCCCGCCGCCGCAGCTCCTGCCCAAAGGCCGCTGCACTCTCGCCCATGGCCTCGTACAGCCCAGGATCAGTTGCTGCCAGTTGAGCCTCCGCCAACGCAACCTCGGTTGAGGTCTTGCCGATTGATGTCTCGGCACTGGAGCTGGTTCCAGAAGAAGGCCACGAGGAGGCATTGAGCCAGCAGGCCGTAGCCTGGTTCACCAAAGGCCAGCTCATCACCGTTGCCAGGCCTTGATCTAGAAAGATCGGCCATTGCGGCCCCCCCTGATTCTTGAGCAGCTGCGTCGCCAGTTTTGGGTGGGTCTCACCATGTGCTGCCGCAGCCGTGCTTCCACCAACATCCAGACCGAGCTGTGGCTCAGCCAGGCCAAGCTGTCGTACAGCGTGTGACTTAAATCGGAATGACCGTCCGCTTGGAGGTGGTCGAGCTGGGCGCTTGGAGGAATCCTATTTCCTGAAGAATTAAAATATTACCTTGAGAATCTAGTCCCAGCTGCAGCGGTAAGACTATTCACCTATAGATTTCTCAACTCCTCCCCCGTAATAGGGGTCTTGGAGGGCATGATCTGCAACTTCTTCTGCATCGGATCCCATTGGAGAAAGGGCTAAGTCCCCTCCACGCACTGCTGCACTGCTTTCTCCCAGATCGGATCCTTGCTGCCTTTCGTCTGCAGCTTGGTGAAGCGTTCGAGGGTCTCCTGCGTCACCGTTTGGCCCAGGATCACCTGCAGCGGCTGTGTCTGGGGTCCTTTCTGCTGTTGGTCCTTCCACTGCTGTGTTTTGCTCAGGATGGTCGGCGTGAGGGAGTTTGGGCCGGCGGGCAAAAAGAGCAGAAATTGGTCGGTGCTGGCCAGCGCCTGCAACTGTGACTCGTGCCTCAGTGTGAGGGACAGCAGTTGGCCCACCGTCTGCTGCAGAGCCTCGATCTGCCTGCTCCACTTCCCTGTTTTCGCCTTTTCCTTTGCTGATGGCCTGGCCATTTTTCTGCTGGTCTGACTCCGGCTTGGGGCGCTCGCTTCAGGGGCGGCTGGGCCAGCAGACCCCCCCACCGCATCCTTGACCTGGTCCATCCAGTCCGAAGAGGTGCCTCCACGACCTTCGAAGGTGTGAGTTCCCTCATGTGGCCGCACTGTGGCCAGAGCGTGTTTGCGGTGCAATTCACAAAGCTCCCAAGCATCCTGCGGTTCCGGTGAGTGTGGTTGAAGCTCTGTATTAAAATCCCCAGCTACAACAGCAACATTCCGAATGGGTAGACGCAGTGCAGTGTCGAGGTGGGTCCAGATGGTGGCCCGACTAGCATAGGGATCAGCTCTAGTGGACGTCGGTTGTGTATTGATACACCTGGAGTATGTCGAGGCTCACCTTAGCCAACCTGCATTGCACGTGTTGGATGTGCCCTGGAACGGGGGATGTGCTCGAAATGTCCTGGCTCGAGCATAGCCTGTGGCTGAGCAGCATGAGGAGACCTCCATGGTCTCCAACTCCCGCGGACAAGGCCCAGTAGCCATGCGTGCTCCATTGTTTCTGTAGTGACCACTGGGTGCTCTGAATGCATACTATGTCTATGTTGTTTCCGGTCACATAAAGCATCATTTCCTGCCAGGTGGCATCAGTCAAGCCGCCCGCATTCCAAGATTGGTCGATCCTCCAGCTTGTGGTGAGATCTTGCACTCCGGGTTGAGAGCAGCACCAGTTGTCGGCGGTGAAGAAGATGTGCATCAGCATTCTGCCCTTATACGTGGTGCATCCCGTGGTGGCCAGGCGTCGCAATGCTTGCCTGAAACTCCTTTTCGTGCTCCGATTTGAGCAGGGCTCTTTTGCCCTAACCCACGAACTTTTCGGAGGAAACTCAAGTGATTCGGGGGAAACCGAGCTCCTCTCTGGTACAGGAGGAACCCTCACCTCTCATGAGCCTGGAACCAAAATATGCACTTCCAAGGCACAGTAGCTCACGTCCCGACTTGGGACCGGAGAGCTCGAGCAAACTCCGCCAGGTGGCCTGCCCCAGAGGCTTCTGATCTGGAACATACCTGTAGGTGGGATTACTCCACCAGTGGGCCCAGCTGGAGGTTTGGCTGCAACACCAGCAAGTAACTCATCACACACAAAAACTACTCTGAGATTGTCTTCCATGTTGACGTGCAACATGAATGGAAACACCGGATTTCGCATAGTATTTTCCAGCTGGAATCTCAACCTGGTGAGCCACAACACTGTGTATCCATATTGATTGACTTCAGACTGAGTGCAGTGTATGAGGACGGTAGTTCCACTCAAACACCCATGGGCTGCATCCTCGTAGGCGTTTGATCTTTGCCATCAAGCATAGACCTGGAAATTCTGGCGGTAATAGTTACTTTGGAAATCAAACCGTTGGTTGACTGCGGCCATATTGGGGCACCTCACAGCCACATATCTGCATGCCAACACATTGCTGAAAATCATAGCGCATTGATCGAAAAGATCCGTCCTTTGAAGGCACCGATATATAGGTCTCCACGGTCAACCTCTCTTGGAAGTCCTATACAAGGTACCTAACGGAAAGTGATCGGAATCACTCATGCGAGAGATCTAGGGATTTGACCTCTGACTGGCAGGAGTTTGGTGGGAAGGGGTGTCTATCCAGCCCAGAACCCAAACACAGGTTTGGAAAAGAATGGAGCAGCGGCGATGTTGCCTGAATTATGCCTGAAAACACCAAGACCTACGAAACGCCACGCGACAGTGATTCCTTGGGCGAGTGATCAGTCCGGGTCTGCGACTCAACAAGTGACGTAGTGACTCAGCACCGTAGGCTTCAAAGAGAGTATCACATTCTCAAATGGCTTCAGTTTGACCATCAAACGAATCATTGATCTGGTTTGTCGTCTGAAATCCATAAAACAATTGGGTCAATTTTGTAAAGACCATGATAAACAATGGTTGTTGGACTCCCAGTCAACATACCAAGAGTTACCGTGTGGGGCTGTCCATTTTGGCCGCAACGAAGCAGCTGGTATCAATTCAACATTCTTGGAGGTGATCGATAGAAAAGCTCTCAGAAGCTCGATGAGATCACCAGATTCAATTCTTTTGCTCAGCGGTGAAAAGCCAGAGCCAATTGTATGGAATATTCATACCCTTACCTTTTCAGGTCATGATTGGACCCTCCAAACCGACACAACAGAGTCTCCAATCACCGTACCTGAGAAGGCACAGCGATCCCTACTAGTAGATACAAGGGATTAGTTGACACATGGCTCCAAGTCACTGATGCTTGGCGTCCTCATCCTCCACACCTCACCAACAGGCGCAGGCATCCACATGGACCCCAGCCCTGAAAACAACACAGGGCCTGGTTTGGTGGGGTGGCTCCTTGAAATGCTGGGAGACCGTGCCAATTCTGAAGCGTCTTCTGCGTTTCAAGAACTACGTCCAGCCCCTGAAACGTAAAACACGAACACGCACGAATCGACCACCCGCCATCATGGACAGGGCGCCGTTTTTGTCGGTCGCGAGCGCAGGAGGCGAACGGAGGTGCAGGTTTAGCGGTCCGAACAAGTTCCCTACCCAGGACAGGATTTTCTGTGGATAGTGCAACCGGCAACATTGTGCAACCTTTTTGTGGGAGGTTCTTCTCCGCGAAAATCGAAGAGGTGGAAACTTGAGTGACTTAATCTTCATGCCATTGGAAATCCTGCAGGAAAAATCAGGAAGCGTGTTTTGATGATTCTTCTCCGAAAACACTCGAGACATCTTAGTACTTGCTGGCACGCGGCATGTTCGGAGCGAACCTCCCGGGACACTCTTGGCGCGTCTCGGCGTCACCTTGCAGAGGAAGAAACACGACCGGTTAACGCGACCGAATCACTGGTTGATTTTGAAAGGTGGGGGCGTCGCTAGTGGGGCGATTTGTTCGGCGTCCGGGGGGAGTGGGAGCGGATTTGGTGGTTGTTATCTTTCTCAAACAGAAATTGAAATGGTTCGCGCGACGCCTTCTGGATGTTCAGTGCAAAGATCGGTGTCGGCAGTCCTCTACCAAAGCCAGCGTTTTTCTTTCGAGGGCTTGAGTGATCTCAAACGGAGAACTCAGTCTGGGGCGCTTGGAAGAATCACAAAATGCGGGTCAGTTGCATAACACCCCACCGGCTGTGAACTCAACAAATCTTCAAGAGAGACACAACTTGATCGTTGTGCTTCAGCATCTATTGACCAAGAAATTGATTCCATCTCATTTGTTTGATGCGGTGATCTAGGCACGTTCATGCCTGGCATATTGCGCTTTTGCGCACCTGCTTTTTGAACAGGTGGTTTCTGAGATGGAGGCTGTCTTTTCACACTGTCTTTCCTTTCGGTGGCACATCATCTTCGCGAGGTTGAGGGGCCTCAGGCTCTTGTTGAACAGCACCAGGCTTCTCATCACTTGCGCAGGCGGTTGGTCGCCTACCCCATCAATATCATCCACTGATATTCAAAATAACGATATCAATTTAACATGTTGTGTCACTATGATACAACAACACAGAGACCTTTCAAACTGTATATAATCGTTATAGCATGCTTCATCATTTGCACGCACGATCACTTTTTTGATCCAACAGATCATGGCATACAATACTCATTCATTTGTAAAGATCCAATGAATAAATGAAGTACATTCAAGTGACGTGACATTCAGCTCGCGGCACAAGCCACGCACTTTTTTTTTACCTGAACAACGGTTTGAAATCAAGGTCTTTACCCGAGTTCCACGGGTACCCCAATCTAGTATTTACCAAATTGGGTTGGGAAACAATGCCCACCCGGCACAAATACATGGGATCTGGTCGAAATGTCTTCTTCCAAAAATGGCTGAAAGTCGTGTTCACATGGGGGCCCGCTACATATTCTTTACTTTTGGCACGCACAGCTGGTTAATGCAGGAAACGTGGACCAAACAATTGTCGGCGCCAAATTGTAAGAGGCGTCACTAGCGCTGCACCATTTTCAGCTGATTTCCTAGCTTAGCTTCAAGCCATGCTTGAAACAAAAGACATGTTGCAAGTCAGCCTTGGAAGGGTCCACGCTGGAATCTGGCAATGTTTGCTAGAGCGGATCTAGCGCAGTGCTAGCGGGCGGCTAGCGCATTTTTCAGCCAACCACTTTTCAAAAACCTGACAACGTTCTGAACATGTCCTAAGGCAAACGCTAGCGTCACTAGCGCAAGTCTACCGCAAGCCTAGCGCCGAGCTGCAGAATAGGTGTGTTTAGCTGGGGGCCCGCTACATAAAATCTAATTGAAAAACCAACATCATAAGCTACTTTCGACCCCTTTATCTACTTTTTTTGATTATAGACTTTTGGCCGGACTCCACATATGCCGTGGTGGTGGGACATTGTTTCCCGGAGGTCAGGAGGAGGACACAGGGTTCGCCTGCGCGTGGCACGAGGGCGGAGGGGGACACGTCGCAAACCCTCTGTCCTCCTCTTGTCCTGGTGTCTTCTGCTGTCGCGAGCCCTGTGTCTTTCTCTTGTCCTTCTGGTGTTCGTCCTGCTGTCCTCTGGCCGCAGGAGGGCAAAAGGGAGAGCAAGCCAAAGAGAAAGCCAAAGAGAAAACGGCAACGCAGCGGGGCCCCAAGGACCACTTGGAGCTTTATGCCCAGCGGACCCAAAGGCTTGTCACAAGGACCCCAGGCACAGGAATGTGGGATACGACAAACAGTCCAAAGGGTTTGCCGGCGCTGGCTTGATGAACCCTGTGTCCTTCTCTCGTTCTCCTGCTGTCCTCGTGCCACGCTTGCGAACTCTGTGTCCTCCTCTTGTCCTTGTGATGTCCGTCCTGCTCTCCTCTAGCCGCGTGTTTCTTGCTTCCAAACAATGGTTATCCTGAGCAACATCAAGCCAAATGGAACTAAGAATCGATTCAAGGAAACAATAAAGAGCCCCGTCAAAATACACTTAACCTATGTCCATCACTGTGTTGAGCGCTGTGAAGGCCACCCTTGTGTTCAAGCTGAATCTTCGGTCAGTCTGGCCAACGGCGGTTTTCCAAATCGAGCTGTTGATGGCTGGCTTCGTTCAGCAGGAGGACCAGAGAAGGACACAAGGTTCGCAAGCGTGGCACGAGGACAGCATTAGGAAATCAGGATAACAGGAGAAGGACACAGGGTTTGCAGGCGTGGCTACGTATATAGAGGACAGCAGGACAAAAGCAGGCAACTGGAGGAGAAGACAACAGGAGGACAATACCCGGACGTAGAAACTGTGGCCAGTATCTTTTTCCATTTCGAACGAACTGTTTGGTGACAAAATGCTCAGAAACGCCCCCGTCACGACGGATGGATGGGGATGGAGATGGGGGATGGAGATGGGGGATGGAGACCAAGCATCCCCAAGTCGGAAAGATCGACCCTCGACAGATACAGCTCCCCATCCCAGTTGGTGGCTCTGCCGGATGTGCCCTCTCTGCCAGCTGGATGTCCGGTGAAGAGAGCTGTTGCCGAACGTGGGCGTTTTCGCCCTTCGTGGCAGAAGAGATGGTTTGGGCTGCCCCGCAAGTCCCCACGCCCGAAGGACTCCCACCAGTCGCACTATCTGTACAGTCCAGGTGAAAAGACAAGGTGGACAACCAGTTGGTCATGAAAAAGTATGTTTCGCTGCACGAACAAACACCACCGGCGCCACATGTGCGTTTTCGATCGGAGCTAAACCTCCGTCCGACCCGATGTCTTTCCCGCAACCACAACCTCCGCCCTCTCGCGCCGCGCCGGTCACGGTCACGGCACCGTGCCTGGTCGCACTGCGTCTTGCGTAGGCGCTTGTAAGGCCTGAGAGGCGGCGGCGAGGGAGCGTTCTGCGCCGCCTTCGAGTTGCTGTTGCTACGCGTCGCGAGGGGCGTGGGGAGTGAGGGGACGAGGACATGAAGCGAATCAGACAGACCCAATAGGAGTTGCTGTCAGGCTTGAAGGGTCTTTAAATCCTTACTGATAAATGACTAAGAATAAATACTTTGGTACAGTACCTTACATGTTCATACATGTATACCTTGGATGATTGCTTCTAGCTGCTAGGTCCAACACCTGGGAATGGAGAAAATCATTTGGAAGCTGGAAAGAAGATCCTGCCAAAAAGTATTGGGTCTCTCAGAGTTGACCAACCACTATCTTGTCCCAAATACTATGAGAGTTGGTCAACAGTGACAGATAGTCCCACCTCATGGGGTGTTCACCTAACTTTCAGATCTATACTCCCCGTGGCATGGCCCCTACCTAGGTCCGATGACTCGGATGTCCAGGGCCATGCCATCCTGACCGACAAGCTTGGACGGGTGAACTACACACGAGGACGACGTCACCATGACGACGTCACCATGACGACGTCCAAAGGTTCAGAACGAACCCGACTGTTGGACTATTCCGACTATTCCCCTACTTTTTTTAAAGGTACCCCAGGTCTTTCGGCTCCTTCTTCAGGTCACAACAAACCCCTCTCTTGGAGAAACTCCTTTCTGCTCGTCGCTCGCGACACCAGTGCGGCCACCGCACGGCGACATGCTGGGCACACCATCGGAGAGCGCCTCACGACCGGGACGACCGGTCCAGCGTGGACATTTGGATCGAAAGATCCGACGCTTCGCCCCGCAAAGCCCTTCCACATATGTGGAAATAAGAACCGAAACCATTCGTTGGTGCGCGTGGAACCTCACAAAGCTGCTGTCTGGCTTTGGCTGTAGATCAGCAAGGCTCAGAAACCTATGTGTTTACCCCCTCTAGTATGTCCAAAGTCGCCTCACACCACACCACACTGTGACTTTTTCATGTCTGCTCAGCCACTTTGTTGCGTGCGTGGGTGTGTCGTTCCAAAACCAGATCTCATAGAGTTCACCCCTCAACACACAGAATAAATATAAACCTTTTCAACGGACACATCGCAACTATCTTGGCAGCCTGCAGTCACTGACCGCTGCAGTCAAACCAAAATGGCAAAACCGTGCTCCCTCCCAAAAAAAGTTTGGAAACGTGAACAGCGAAAACGATCTTTGGAATTGGAATGGTGAAACCACCTCGAAACGGCGAGCGAAAACGATCATTCATTTTATAAACGGTAAGAAAGAGGAACGGCGCCTGTTCCAAGAGGCAAAAGAAAAGCTCACAGAAGCGCCACCACTCCTCGCCACGGTCGAACGCGACGATCAACGGCCAGGTGGGTGCGGTTTAAGGCACAGACTGACGAGAAGCAAGCGACCCCCTGATTTTATGAAGAGTAATTATAGATTTATATGCTTTGATGAAAAACCCGGGTTCAAATGAAACCTTCATCCTGGAACCTAACCCCTAAACCCCCACGCTTGGTCGTGCTGCTTGATTTCGGGGGGCCACACCACGCTGGTTCATGCACTCCACGTCCCAAACAGAACGGTTCCTCACACCGATGAGTCGGACGTCCGGGTTCGCACCGGTGGAGTGGGGCAACCGGGCGAAAGCCCCCCAACAGGAACAGCGTGGAGTGGTTCAGTGGAGAACTCCACCTGTTCCTGTTCCTGTAACTCTTGTTGTTGTTGTTGTTGTTGTTCTTCTTCTTCTTCTTCTTCAGTCATGGTCCACTTTTTCCTGGGTAGGGCGTTGAACCACTGAAGCCATCTGATCTGGACCGCAGCATGGGACACGTGTCAAAACCGTGCTTTAAAACAAAAACAACAAAAACAACGGCTGTTAGATGGTACAACTGTTGTTTTAGATGTTTCAAATGGAAATCCGTTGCTGGAAATCGGCTGTATCCGATGGTGCACGATTTCAAATTTCTCATAGATGTCCAGTTGCATCCGACCAAGGAATTTCGCGAACTCAGGCACCTTTTTCGGGCGGGTCCGATGGACGCACGTTCAAATCCCCTGGCTTCGATGTGCGTTGATGGTGTGAACTTTTCGTCATGTCCTTGAAATGTTTGGGGCACATCTTCAGATATTCATGCATCTGGAGCAAGAGCAGACTGAACTTATCTGCCAGCTTTGAGCTGCATCTGCCGCGACAGTCTTCTATGAGCTCACTCAGAATGCTCAGCGCTTCCCGGAACAGGCATGGCTAGCACATTGGGCTGGGAAGCATGGCTCTGCACCAGCAATCCAGTGGAGATGAGCCGTCCTCTAGGCACACAGTCACCAGCGAAATGGCTGATTGATCACTGTTGATGTTGCCAAAAGGTTGGACAGTACTTGAACATTGTCGCCCCCTTTTGCAGTCGACAAGGTCCATGCCCTCAGTCATCGTTCTTTCGAAGATCAGGCCGTTTGGGCAAGGCTGTCATTTCTGCGACGCATCCAAATCAGTTGTCCTCTGCATCAGCCCCCCGTGAATCTGACTGACTAAAAAGAACCACTTCGGCTCACCGACGAGTTTTCAGGTATGTCCACCTACCCTCCATCTGCTCGGCATGACCATGCCCCGAAGGCCCCACATCCCCATGCCCCGGCATGACCTGCTCGTCTCCCTCGTCTGCTCTCCGGTCCGCGAGTCTCCTCGTCATCCTCATCCTCCGGGGAACGCCGCCCAGCACCATCCGCGACGCACCACACCTCGCAGAGAGCGCAGCCCAGCGGCTCCCGGTCTCCGGTCGGGAGACCCGAGACACGACCGGGCATCGAAGACGGTGCCCTCGCAAGCCATGGGAAAGATGGAGATCAAACATCTGCACCATGGTGGGCCAAGGGAAATCGCTCCCGAATGTCCCCCAGTCTTCCAAAGATAGAAAACAAACATCCTGGAACACACAGGGGGCTGTGAGTTTTTCAGACATCATGTTGACAAAAATAATCCCACGTCTCCATCTTGGTTCTACATCTCCGGTCCTGCTTGGGTATATTTTGGTGGTATATCCTAATTGATCTTCCGGGGCCCAGTGGATGATGATGGTTATATAGGTTGCAGGCCTTTCCATCCATCTCAAAGAACCGTGGTAGCTCTTTACCGACTCTTTCTGGTCTACTGGACCACACAGTTCTACCCTCATCCCTCGCTCCCGTGCTCCGAACCGTCCAGAGGTGTCACCCGAGTAGGGCTCCGAAGGCCCCATCTCCTCAGGTTCGGTGGTTCGACCCCCCTGGCACCCACCCACCCCCAAGCACCGAAGCCTGGGGATGTGGGGCCTTCGGAGCCCTATGGCCCTTTTTTCCAGGACCCTCCAACAGGTCACCACCTGGCCTCCTATACCGACCTGTAGAGTCGGGTGCTGGTATACGGTTAGTGTCAGTGTTGTTTCATCCGAGCTTTACGTCACCGAAGCCCCTCCGTGCCGCCACCCGTCCGGGGCCAGTGGAGAGGTGGATCCCCCCGTGGTTTGGAAGAGATGGCTGAACCCCACAGCTACGAGAATGGCTGGTGAACACTGCCTGTTTCCACCAATAGAATTCATCCAACTTCTGTAGCGATCCTACGGATCCTCAACATCAAGAGTTGCTGCACCAACCCTCATATGACTGGGGAGCACCAGTTTTGCTGCACCAACGAATCCGGGCGCCTCCCCGTGCAGATGGCACCACCCCACCTGCACGTCACTGGCTAACGCCTCTGCCAAGGCTTTGCTCGAGAGCGCCGAGACCGCTGACATGAGGCCTGGCAGTCCGACGCTGGTCCTGCTGGTCATGGTGACTTCATTCTGGGAAAACCAGAACGTCAGTGCACTGGTAGAATTTGTAGCGCTTGAAAAAGGCACCCGGTGGAAAGGGACCACTGATAAGCGCACCCGAATGAATCATGAAGAGAAAGAGTGACCATGAACGCACACCCATGTGGTGATCCACCAAGCAAAGAACAACTTTTAGATCTAGAAAACGATAGACATCACAGACAGGTGGAAATACCATTGTGTCTTTTCACCCCAAGACCATGTCTCTCCATGTTCCCCAAGACGATGTCGTCCATGTCACGGTCGTCGCGCCATGCGCCTGCCAGGCGTGGGCTTTGGGGTTCCAGCGGTGCCATGCAGCGGTAGCTCTTGCCGTCCTGGAACGAAAGGCTGAACGAACGAGACAGCGAAACACGAGACAGGGAGACCGAGTCACCAGGAATAAGCGGAATAAGCCGCAGTATCTAAACGCAACAGGGCTTGTTACACAGCTGTGGTTTTGTAAAGACGACCTGGTGCCAAAACTGTGCCGCGCAAGGGCGGGCGTATGTCGCATGCCCGCTACGCATACAAGTGGCCGGGGTCGCGAGGAGAAGTTGCTACAGCATGTGTGTGTGTGTGTGAGGTGCAAGAAGGAACTTATGACTTACGTAAACCCTGCGCTGCCTGAGCATTGCTCGGCGTGTGGTGTGTAAGACATGTAAGAACTGCCTGGTTTCTTTAGCACTGGTGGGCAATTGAGCCAAGGATTCGAGCATCGAGTCGCCTGAGGATGGCCACCGGGGTTTGGATGTCAACCTAATCAAAAGCTTTACAGCAGTCCAATCCACAGCAAACAGGGAATTGTTCCTTAAAGGGTGCATCATGTCAAGACAAGGAATGAAAGTGTCCGCATCCTGAGCACCGACCCCGCCGGTTTGATGTGGATGCGAACGCATGCAGATCCACAGCTTGTACAGCACAGGTCCCACCAAGATGGAGCGAGGGAGGACCAAAAACGGCGCTTGCACTGGAGGGGATGCCAACCACCCTCCACTTAGCCAAGTCGAAAGAAAAACGCAAAAACACAACTCGTTCACTCTTTCCAAGAAAAATGCGGAGAGTACCAAAGACAAAGCTTGGTATAGGAAGCTCTCGCATGGTGGCCACGACAAATCCGTCTGATCGGTTCTCCGAAACAACGACTGTGGCTTTAGCAAGGTCATGGCAGCCACGCGCAGCACAGGAGGTCATCATCTCTGCTGCGCGTGATAGCCAGCGCGCACACACCACTGACAGTTTGTCGATCGGTCTCTTTGCAATTGAGTTTCATGCTCTTCAGCACAAATTCGGCACTCACGCACCGCTTATTCGGAAGACCTTCTTCTCCCAGATTGCTTGTTGCAAGCGTTGGCCACTTGTCGTTTTTGTGACTTCAGAGCTGCTGCTCACGCCACAAGAAAACCACACACACCTCGCAAGCCACACACTCGCACTGCCATGCCAAGAGATCTGTGATTATCGGAGTTTCCATGCGAAAAAACCGTGCAGCAAATGCACAGATCTGCTGGTGGAACGTCGTCATTGGATTCTTCGTGCTGTGAAAAAAAAAAACACATCATTCTCGAATCGAAGCCCCTCTCCCGCTTCGGCAACCCCATTGAGACTTGAATTTGAACTAAAGAACCAGGCACGGGCGGTGCATTTTAACAGGAGCGCATTGATCAGCAGGGCACAAGAAGGCAATACCGAAATCGTCAAAGCTGTTCAAGCGCCGGCCACAACAGCATCTTCGGCATCTCTTTTAGGTGTCCTCTTGAACACACAAAATGTAGCCTTTAACATCTGAACTCCCTACTGTTCATTTGATTTTTTGTCATGGTTCCCCAAAGACTCAAATTGCATCCAACGGTGTGATGGTGAGCCTCTACTAGGTTACTATCAATAGGGAAGAAGATGGAATAAGTCAATATGATGAGGGAGAACCAAGCTGAACCTAAGCCTGCAAAAACGTTCAGTTTTGGAGTCACTTATAGAAAAATCCTAAGGTAATAATATAAAAGATACAATATATGGCTTGGCTAAGAGAGAATAAGAAATAAATAAAGCCAAGCCATTACATAAGATATAAATTATAAATGACATCTTCTCCAAATTATATAAGTAATACCATGAAATTTGGAGAAGATATTAATGTTCATGATCATTCATTTTCAATAAGAGATTATAAGGAAAATGAATGATGATAAGGAATAGCAACCCAAATAAGAGATTTTATAGAAGCAACATGGAGCTATGTGTGACATATGTGGGCGCCACCCCTGTGAGCTGGCGGAATGGAGTCATCTGCATGGAGTCATCGGCGGTCGTTCGGTCCGCATGGTTTCGCAGAAGTCGTCCCGAGACATCCGGTCGTCTCGGATGCTCTCTTTGCGGTCTGCGGCGCTACAACTGGAGGAGAAAATACGTGCAGAAGGAAGCTTCTCTTCTCGCTGTTTCGGGGTGACGAGGGGTTTCGGTCAGGCCGACCAGGGTGTCGTCGAGCCCATGACCCGAAGCAAAAAGTAACAAACAAACAAACAAACAAAAACGATAGAAACAAACAAAAATAATCAACTTAAACGTTCCCTTTAGGTTTTGGTTCTTCTTCGTTCTTCTGTTTTCTCTCAAAATATTTTCGGTCACATGGGGAACCCAAGCTCTTCAGCCCCGGCCCCACGCCTCCTTACTCCACCCCCACGCCTCGGTGCGCAGCGTGAAGCGGTGCGCCACGGCATCGCCGATCCAGGTGGGACGGCCCGGCAAGTCGTGGCCCAAATGATCATTCATCTGGACCTGGCAGACGAAACGTCACCCATCGGAGCGGAGCGCGAGCGCCATGGGGTCTGCGAGAGCGAGAGCGACCAGTGCGAGCGCGAGCGACCACGGCAGAAGACGGCCCGGGACTGCGGTCAGACCGTGAGAAAGGTCACGAGGCCCAAACGAAGTCATGACTCCAACGTGCATGCTTTATCCCATGCTTCCCAGTGCCATCATGGAAGAATTGTTCGCTCGACTTCTCCATTTCGGCATCCCTTTGGGGAGACAGAACAGTCCCACAGAACAGTCCCACGCTTTGGCCGTTAAAGACCGAAATCTCTTCGCTTCCCAAAGGTCGGCGTTTCAGCGTTCCGTTGGCCGTTCCACGTCGGAACGGAGTCGTTCGCGTGGGCTCGCGGTGCCACAAAGGTATCCCAGGTGGAAGGGTTGGTTGAGGTGCACTGAACATTGGAGACCTCTCAAGAATATGTTTTTTTCACTTGCGTGTGGGTGTTTGGGAGCGTGCGGATCGTATCCGGTTTGCGTTCCCGACATGGGTCGGCATGGGCACCCTAGGCACGGGTGACGAAAAGCGAGCTTGGCTCGGGCCGGACATAGAGGCCGGTAGTACCTTCAGTCAGGTATCAAGATCAAAATCAACTCCTTGATCTTCTTCATCGGTATCATCTTCGACCGTAAAATCACCAAGCTGCATGCGGGTGATCAAGGACTTCGCAACTCCATTGCGATAGCCCTCATCTGGAATCTGAAGTACCAGTTTGATTGCTGCCATTCCAACAGCTTTCGGGATCTTGAGGTCCTTGCATAAATCCAGGAACTCATTCACGATGTCAATGTCCTTGTTCAAACGATGAACAGAGGATAAACTGGCATAGGTCTTTGTAACCTTGTCAACATAGTCTTGAGACCAAAAATCCTCTTGAGATTTTCACTTGTACGGTCACCATCCGTCATAGTTGCTCGAGATTCATTCTCCGGCATATCGAGCGCAATCTTGCTTTGCGCTCCTTTTGCGATAGCCTTTACAAAGTGGCTGTCGATCCTTTCAACTGAAGCCCTGTTCCGAATGGCTTCAAGCTTTCTGAATGAGTCAGCACGTTCTCGTTCTGCCAATGCAACGGCTTCTGTTTTCCGCTGCTTTTCTGTCTCCGTTGCTTCTGGAAGACTTTCCGCAGACCTTTTCTTTGCCTGCGAATCTGCCATGGCAAGATCAAGTCGCATGGCATCCTCTTGGTCCTCTGGACTGGCATAGTTCGTAACCTCCCTGCCCACGAACTCTTTGTGGGCTGCAATAGCCAACTTTGCAGATACGTTATCAACTCCAACGTACCTCATAAAGCCATCATAGACGTCCTTGTCCATACCTCCATCCCAGTAGGTTGTAAGAGTTGGAATCTCCTTGGTTTCAAACTCTGGATGGCTGGGATTAAAATCCCACATTCTCTGGGGAGACGGGTTGTTCCTCCAACTGCTTTGTCAAGAAAGTTGCAAAGGTCTGGCCCATTCAAATGAGATGGGTTATTTCCGTAGGGAAATTGGCACATAGTGAAGATTGCCCTCTCCATCTTTGACTGCAATGTAGATCCAATTGCAGGACACGGCCTCTGCTTGAGGTAGTCCGTGACAGAGGCTCCAAACAGAATAGCTCTGAGGAGTCAATGGTACCTTCGCCGTCACTGCTGAGCGAATATCTGGCTGAAGCAGATCAAAGCTTCGGTTTTTCCACCCACAAAAATCCTTTGGTGTGAGTCCAAGGGTCGTCTGTACGAGATCCTTTGTGATGGCTAGCCCAATGAAGCTACCACCAAATGCGATCAATGCTCGCTCTGCTACGTTTCCTTCTGAAAGTAGCTCCCAGATGGTCACATTCAGACCAGCTCCTGGCACTCTTCCATAAAGAAAGTGGGTCAAACTGTCTGCCTGGCAATTTCCAGTCAGTGCTTTCCGGGATAGATCTCCTGGTAATCCAAGAACTTCAGACATGAATTGGACTGAGGTCTTATACGTGTTGCTGACAATTCCAGCAACATACTTTTTTTGAACGTCCACGGACAAGAAATCCTTGAGCATTGTAACAATGTGATTTCTGGACAGTCGCTTCATGATCATTTGCGGCTGGTAACTGCAAGAACTTGTGTAAGAACTTGCGAATTTTCTCAGACTCTGTATGGAGTTCGAGCATCCTTGCACGAACAGATGCTGTCGGTGCTGATCCCATGCCACCTGGAGCCATGGTGGCAAGATCGAACTTTGAGTAGTAGGACTCGATGTTGGATGACTTGGTGATGGTTTCTCCAAGTTCTTTTGCCTTTCCAAGAAGGCCTGCTGCACGATTCTCAATTGTTGCAGAACTCAAAGGCATATAGTCTTTGATCGTTGGATCCTTACTGGCTCCAGTTGAGACCCGTCCATCGGGTCCAATCATAAGGATTGTAGTAATCCCATTGTTTGCAAATGCACGTGGAACGCCATTTGCTTGAGCGACTCTTGTCAGAGCTGCATAGTTCTGGGTTGTACCCTGAGATGTTTGGGAAGTTTTACCCTTCCCTTTGCCCTTGGGCGCAGCACTCCTCTCAGGCTGCGTGATAGGGGAGTTTGAAAGAGATGCGCGTTCGCGGCGCACGTCCGACCATTTGGCTTGAGCCCGTAAGAATATATATATATATTTATATATTTACATTCTGTGCATGGAAGTCGCGCTGCGTGTGGGCGTGTCTTTTCTTGAGCCAACGTGTTATGGCGGTCTCGCCATGTTTTCAACGCTTTGCAAGCTATGCGACTTGTTCCGCGCTCCCCCTTGCGATTTAACTCGCAACTACCCGGTCTTTGACCAGGAAGAAACTAAACCCGCACCATTTGCCGTGCAGGTTAGGAAGCCCATCCTTGCGCCACTCAGCATCCAGGTAGATCAGCCGCTGCGAGAACGTCATGGTGCTCTAGTTGAGGAGCCATGCGACTGTCACCCTCGCATACTCCAAGTCCCGGATGTCTTCCGGTTGTGGCGTGGACCTGTGTTCCGGATGGAATCTCTGCACCCTCAAGCTGTGCCGCCTGACCAACCATGTAGCTGAAGGAAGGCGCAAGTAGTCCCACATGTCTGTTCTTGGAACAGGCCTGAATTTCGTGGCCTCCTCATCAATCAGGATTTGGACCTTGTCGAAGAGCTCTTGCGACCACCACACTGAAGGTTGGATCACCAAGGTATCTCCTTCGCATTCAACAGGAGGGACCGACCATCCGGGGAACTGCCGGCGATGGATAGGCTCGATGTGGATCATCTTGAGTCCCTTCAGATGGATGAGGAAGAGGGCCTGGTTTTGGCGCCGTCACCCAAGGAGGATATTCCTCCGGCCACGCCGATCCCAACCTGGCCGGCCGAGTGGTCACCTCATTCCCTTGATATGACGTCGAACTTTTGGATGTAGTCCCCAATGCCGCCGCCCCACTTTGCCGCCAGAGTCACCCAACAGCTCTGGTGGAGGACTCTTTCTGGGTTTGTAGCCCGACTTCAAGCCCTCGATAGTTTCAGCCACATGCTGAACATACTTCGGCAGCACTGGTGGAGGTTTTGGCAAAGGGCCTGACACTCCTTGTACATACTTTGGCAGAATGGGAGGAGATTTCGCCGGTGGACCTCCATCCATTCCTTGCTCATGCCCCGCTGAAGGCCTGGCGCGCGCTCGCAGCCTCTAGTTCTATGTCGGGAGCCTGTTGGCTACTGTTGGGGTCTTCTACAATCTGGGACACTGAAGTCCAAGACCCTTGCGTGCGGCCCGACGCAACTTCATTCATGGCCTCTTGGTCTTTTCTTGTACTTGTTTCTTGTTCTTTCTCTTCTTGTTTCGACCTTTCTTGGTCTGTTTGTTCCCTTGTCAGACTAGTCCGCAGGGTGCACAGTCGGGCTTTGGTCGCCACTAGGGATTCTCCCCCGGAGCTACATCTGGTGGTTTGACCCTGGAAAACACGTGGTTTTGAATCCCCAGCGTTGACCCCCCTTCTACCAAAAATTCTAATAGCTTCGGCAGCTAAAGCAACACTCAGTGATGCCACCACCGCCACCTTGACAATCTGGTTTGGCCACCCAAAGAAGGCAGCAAACATAGCGCAACCTTCGCCAGCCGCACCCCTCCATCATTTTCACCCTCCGGAACCTCACCCTCCTGGTTGATGTTCTTCTCCCCCAGGTCCACCATTTTGATGAAGTTGCAGAACCTCTGCCAAGCCGTCTTCACAGCAATCGCCTTTGTGAGAAAGTCGGCGATCAGCTTTGTTCCCTCAAGATGGTAAATCTGCCAGGTTCCCAAGCGTGATCGTTCCCTCAAAGCATAGGAACGAAGGCGCAAGTGGCGTGTTCGCCATGGACCATCAGGTTGTCGAATGATGGCAATTGCCGCTTGGCTGTCTCCATATGTGATCACCGCTGGCGGCTCTTCCACCCCCAACACCTCTGTCATAGGCTGTCCCCCATGACGGACGATTCAATGTACGCCAGTAGTTCAGCCTCAGCAGTCGACAATGCCATGCAGCTCTGCCTCGAAGATTTCCATTGTACCACTCCTCCACCAATCATGGCCACGATGCCCTGAACACTTTTTTCCCCTTGAGGAGCGTAAGAAACATCACAGTAGATCTCCACCAAGTTCATGCTTCTTTCTCGAGCCAATGCCTCATCGGGGCCACGGTCCTTCTCCTTGCATCTTCCATAGGCCAGGAAGCGCTCGTCAGTGGCGTTCAGGTACTCCAGAATGTAGTATCCTGCCTGCAATGCCCAACGTGGTCTTTTTGTCACTGCTCCCCCCAGTGCTCCAATAGCAAAAGCAAGGTCCGGACGGCTGCGCACAGCCACCCACAAAATTTCTCCAGCAATGGCCTGAGCCTGGCGGATTTCCTCGATCTTGATGTTGTCTTCCTCCTCCACAAGGTGGGCATGTTCCTTCGGCAACGGTGTTGACCTTTTGGCCGTGATCTTCCGTCGACGGATTAGATCTTGTAGATAGGAAGGTTGTCCCACCAAG